ATTTATCATTAATTTATGAATATATTTTTGAGATTTTGTTTGAGAATAAATATTAAAAGAAATATTATTATAAAATTGTATTTTAATTTTAAACTAATTAATTAATTCTTCAATTATATAAATATTTTGTACTGTTTCATCTTCAGCAAACTATTTTAATAGTACACCAAAATAATTATTAATAATATTTTTACTATGATGTTCAACAAAATAGTTGAATAAAAATTTTTTATTATAAATAAAAGATAGATAATTAAAAATAAATTGCATTAATTCAAAAGAATGAAAATGAGGTCCTGAATCAGATCAAAAATAAATTTCATTAAATTGTGACATAAATGAATTAAAAAGAAGTTTTTTAATGCAATTAGTCACAAATAATGAATCATGATTTATAATTTTTGAAAAATAATCAAAATATGAAGTTTAGATTATATGATTTTTATTTTTATAAAAAACAACAAATCCTAAAAGTGATATTTGTATTTTTTCATAAAAATTTTTTCCTGTTTCAATTGGATTACCACAATTTTAAAATTCTCTTTAAAATTTATAACAATAACACATGATATAGATGTTGTTAATTCAAGAAAATTTTTATATAACTCTTGTTATTAAGTTTTAAAATAAAGAAGTTTTTTATAAAAATCAATTTCAGTTTGTAATTAATTAAAAATAGAATTATTTTTTCTATTATTTGAATTAATTTGTTGTAATTAATTTTTAATTTTTCCTCTTCAACACAAATTGGACATATATCAGTTTTTTTTTATACTTTTTTAAAATTTTGAGTATAAGGTTTATAAAATTTACTCAAACTAAATTTTAAATTTGGCTATTGAGTTTTTAATTTATTATAAATTGTTTTTTTGAGTTTTTCTAAATAATAAATTATAGAAGAATTATAATTGATGGTGGTATTTTCTAAGGAATAAAAAAGTTTAATAGAAGAACATATAGAAGTTAAAAGCTTAATATTTTGTAAAAAAAACTTAATAATTAATTCAAAAGTTTTTTTATTAATTATTAATTTGAAAGAGGAAATAGTTCTTTGATAATCTAATAAATTAAATATTTGATTATCAATTTTTTTAAGAGCAGTATTAAATTATTTATTACTAAAATTAAAATCAAGATTTTTTAATTCTGATTTACTATATAAACTAGCAATTAATGATAAAATACTAGATTTATATTTAGTAGAAACAGAAATATACATGATTTTAATATTATTAAGAACTTGTTTAACTTTTAATGCATTTTATGTATTAAAAAAAAAAGATTTTTCAATATAGAAATCATTTGAAAAATAATTATAAAATTAATTTGATTTATTACCAGATAATTGTGAAACAGTATCATGTATAGTAGAAGTTATAAGACTTTTTTATGATGAAGAATATGAATTAAAAGGTAATGGATAAGAGTTATATTTATTTAATAAACAATAAAAAATTTTTTTAAGATTTATAAAAGACATTATAACAAAAAGTAAGAAGATTTTTAATAATTTTTTTTATTTATATAAAAATTAGTTGATTAATATTTTGATTAAAGTGATTATTAATTGATTAATATCTTGATTAAAATGATTATTAATTGATTAATTAAATGATTTAAGTAATTATTAATTGATTAATTAAATGATTAAAGTGAGTATTAATTGATTAATTAAATGATTAAGATTAATAATCAAGAATTAATAATTACTAAATATAAAAAGAGATATAAAAAAGAACATCAAAAATTATGTATTCAAAAAAAGATCACTGAAAATTTTTAATTAATCTTTTTAATACTTTCAAAAATAATTATCTATATCTCTAATACTCCCTAATTTTGACTATACTAATAAACTCACAATGACAATTAATGATTCTTTAGGTCAAAAGTTAAAGTGCAAAATTAGAGAAAAGTGAAACATTGCCTTTTAAATTGAACTTAGAGTACATAGTTTAAACTTAATTTTGTTTGGTTCAAATTAGCTCAGAGAACGTTCTTATATTTTTTTTAGTAGTTAAGTTCAACTGAAGATAAGTCAGTCGTGTAATGGGTTGTTGTAATGTTTGTTTGGTATTCAATAAAGACAAGCAGGTTAAAAAAAAAAAAAAAATACCTAACGAGAAAATTTTTTTATTATTACGGTTCTAAATCTAAATTTTAATTGTTTGCAAAAAGAAAATATGCTCCAATTCTACAATTTCGTTGATACAATATACAGTATTTTAAACGATATAATAATAATCTAGATTTTTATATAAGGCTGTTGACTGTTAATGCTGCAAATTTAGAAATCAGGGGATTAATTAAGATGTCAGAGGAGCTCGTGTCTGAAGTTTGAAAATTCGTGTTTGAAACATCGGAATATTGTGCGATGGGCAGCATTTGAAAATAATCATGGTAAACGACCTCGGTTGGTGTATTGGGCGGAGCACCCAGATATTGTGCGCTGGCCGGCATTTGAGGAAATTCATAATTCTTAGCTGAACGTAACCTCTTATTTTTTATTACTGATCTCTTGTTATTTAAATAGGGTTTAGGACTTACGTAATTCCACTTATCTTTGCGTTTTTGTTTACCCCTCTTTGGAAACTCACTGTTTCGATCCTCAAACACACGTTTTGCAAATTTTCCATATGCGTCCTTTACCTCTTCGTTCTCATTCTTCCAAAGTTTCGATGCCAACGCAGAGATGTCGGTCATCTGAGGGCAATGATATCTACTCTTGGCGTTTTCGGTGCATACAGTTTTATTGACAATAAAGTCATTTGGAGTTTTAGATGGAAATCTTGGAGACTTTTTACCAATCAGTTCAATCGTTGGAGGGTTAATAAAGATATTGTCGTGTAGTATTTTGCCGTCATTACGTATTTTAATCATCTTTATTTATTACGAATGTATCACTTGGATGCGTGTTTTTTGTTTTATAACGGATCGTGAAAAATTCACAAAGAAACGGGGATGACTTTATATAAGAAATCAGAATCAAATTTAATTATGTGTATGGTACTGTGAAAGTAAGATGAATTCATATAATTAAAGTATCTCGTGACATGTTCAATTTGGCGACAAAGAATCTTTTTTTAAGTTAAAAATTATGAGAATCCTTCGGACATTAAAAAATTCACATCCGCACGTGTCTGCGCCGGTGATCGAACACGTGAAGTTGAAGTTGAAGTTCCAGCCAAATATCAAAAAATTTTGTCGATCGGTCTTAAAGAAACACGAGAATGTATTCCGACTCTTTCGAACGTCATTACCAAAAGCAACGAGAAGGGCAACGTAATTTCTTTAACAACTGTAGACCAACCACAGCTCGTTTCAATATTTTGCGAAGACTTACAGCTGGTCTATCCATACTTCACCAGCAACTATACGAAGGTCGAGGTAGATCACACGCGAACGCGAAACTTGATGCGAACCTACTGTTCACAAGTGGAAAAGATTTTATTACCAAACCTTATCGAATGCTAGCGCATCGATACCTCGTAATTAGCAAGATAGGAGAAGGCTCGTTCTCTCAGGTAGTATGCGCACATGACACCTATTATCCTGGGAGACGTTTGGTAGCCATTAAAATTATGGCGCCTCAATTCAATTCCATTGGCATACAGGTTCTTAGATTAGTTAAAGTTTGATTAGCTTCTTTCGCTCCGATAATTTATTAATCTGATATCTTCTTTCAAATTTATTAGGAAGGCAAAATACTTCGCTATTTAAACTTGCACGCCGACAACGATAATGCCCATATCGTCAAATTTTTTAACACCTTTATGTTTGGGAATCATTTTTGTATGGTGTTTGAATATTACGAAGGAGGAGTACCACGACTTCCTCGCATAGAAAATGAGCAATATAAGTTACAAATTATTCGTAAATTAGCATGTCAACTCTTGATCACATTGATGCACACGCGAAAATGGGGAATCCTGCATGCAGACCTCAAATTGGAGAATATAGTCTGTACCACAGGTATGTCGACTTATTTTGTCAATGACGATGACGAACTATCGTTTAATCTGCTAAGCAATGGTGTGTTGCGTCCAGCTACCTCCCTCGATCTTCGAGTCATTGACTTTGGTAATGCAATGAAACTGGAGGATGTTGTAAAGTATTTTGAAACATTTCAAGTTCAAACACTTGCGTACAGAGCGCCCGAGGTGAGAATGCCTTTACGTTTTTACCTCATGAGAAATTGATTTATTTTATTCTTTAGGTGAGAAAAATTTAGTAGTTAAATACTTTAGGTGATGATGGGACTTGAATTCGGGATCGAGATTGATATGTGGTCTTTTGGTGGGTCTTATTTCTCGGCGTTACCTTTTATATCGGTTAGGTGGCTGACGACATTCTCACATGCATGTATTCTAATCAGGATGCATTATTTGCGAGGTGTGGCTGGGACATCAGCTATTTTGTAGCAGAAGCAAATTGGGAATTCTGGGGGAGATTGAACAGCTTTTGGGGTCACTTCCAGATTCGATATATAAACACGGAGTATTTTTTCCACTATACAAGACCCGATCTGGTTTTAGCGCCAAACCATTAGCAGAAATAGAGAATCAGAATATGTAAATTCGACATATGCTATTGCTGATTTGAATAACCGTTATAATTAGCTAAAGATGAATTCATCTTTAGGTCACGAATTGAACGAATTAGTAGAGTTCTTAAGACTCGGGATGTAAATTTTATCAGTTTTGTCGATTACGTTTTCAATTACGACCCGTCAAAAAGACCGACACCTTCAGAATGTCTGCTTCACCCATTTTTTGAGCCATTGTTTCCTTTTAAACTTTTTTTCGACAGCCATCTGATGAACACGACAATTCGAACGGCGGCGTTCGTCAATGGTAATAATCAAGATTGTGGGCGTGAGAATAACAACTCGCTAAGTGTTGGTGATGATATCAAAACAAGAATTGTACGAATTTACGATGATAACTTTTAAAAAAATTATCAACGAAAATCGATTTGTTTACTGATTCCGACGGAGCTGGTGTGATTTAATGACGACATTAGTAGGTGAAATATATGAAAACATTATGTTACTAAATATTCAGGTAAAGCTTTATATGACACGGTAACAAGTTTAAAAAAATTTTTTTTTTTTTTTTTTTCCTCCGAGACTTTCCAAACTATGCTGACACTTGGCTACTTTGACTTATTTATTGCAGGCGACCAAAATGCGCGACACCATCCGAAGTGTTGGTAAAGAACGATCAAATGTAATGTCTTTGCTGGCTGCAGCTGTACCGATCTGCTCAATTGCTGTCAGAAAAATGGGACGTTTGTCGGGCACAATGTTCAATACTTGAACCATCAAAATGCACGCAATGATGATTCATTCATCTTCTAAGGGAATCATATTTAAAGCGGAAGTAACTCGGAGATAGGTACGTATTAAGACCCGCGCGAGTTTCACTATTCCAAATTGTCCATTCATCAATAAAGCTATCCTTATTCCGTGGCAAAAACTTTCGCTGCATTCTTGTATTGATGATAAATTTTTTATTTTTACAAAGTTCAGCGGTAAAATATTAAAGAAAGAAAATGTCCAAAAACTTTTTACCTAAAATTTTTTTAGAATTTTGAAAGAACGGATTGTAAAAGAAAAAAAAAAAAAACAATGCAAAACTTGACTCATGCACATTGCATCTTATTTATCTTACAACAAAAAAAAAAAAAAGACCCAACGTGACATCATATGCGAACGGGAGAAACCTGGCTAGGAGATATCGGCCGCGTTTTCGGTGATGGGCTTGGTGTATTATCAGATTCGTTGTCAAAGGTGGAATTGGACATAACCTCCACATTATTTCCTCCATCTTCACCCTCTTCCTGAACATTTTCATCCGTTTCCATTAAATCGCTTTCATCTCCATTTCTAAAACAACTTGATCGACGTTCATCCTCGTGTGTTCCTGACACAAGAGTCGACGCTAATTGTCCATCTAGTTCGTGTACAACATTCGGGTATCCTTGTTTTCCACTATTGTGTAATGTTATTGATTCAGACGTATACATGAACTTCCTTAACGGCTCATAATTATCATCTTTCTCGTATGCGTTGGCCTTACTTCGGCATCCATTTATTGTCACGTTGCTTTTAGCATTTAGACTCTGATCCTCTGGTAGATTGTGGGAACTAGTTCCTGCGCATTTACTCATCTCATTTTTCTCTTCACGGGTTTGCGATTTTCCGTGTGCTGCATTGGAAGCGACGCTCTGTCCATGGTTGGTAGCCCTCGATGGAATCTCTGATATGGCCGAAGATAATATCAGTTCAGCAGCTAGCGAGAGGTTGTCTAATCCAGTATGATCTGTGTGATCCGTCGATCGCATCGATGAATAAGGTAGCGACACTGCCTGTGCGTTTACTTGCATCGAAGAAAATGTTGAAAGTTCGGTAGATTGATTCAGTACGGAATCGTTCAATTGCATTGGATATGTCGGATGACTTCCGATCGTCTGCGGAAAGGTATAGGTGGGATATAATATTCGATTATTGTACATTGAACCATTTTGAACAGGTTGAATTGGTGGTGTGGCGAACATCGGGTGGCCCGAGATTGGTGGTTGCATCGGATACATTGATGGATAACTCAACCGGTTGTTATGCACCGTGGACGAGGATGACACAGGTGACTTCGAAGACACGCACGTCCAATATTAGCAATTAGTAGTGAAACAAAATGATGAGTGATAGAAAAACAAGGCTTACTAGCTTATATTGCTCGGGTGATGATAACTTTTGTTGGAGAGAAGATGAATTAATATAGACTGCACAATTAACAATAATAATAATATATTTGGTAATATTTGGTAATATTAACAAGCAAATGTGAACAATGTGAACTCACGTGTGACATCTGAAGACTCTTTGCAGATTTCCTGTTGTATGGAAAGTTGTATGTTACGTATCCATTTGTCTGCTGCTGAGGAACATACTCAACTATCTGACCCACTCTTTCCTGC